ACGGATGCATAAACATAGTCAACAAGTGGTTGCCTAGCAAGATACGCCCACTTCCTTCATAACAATTTTCAGTATATCAAAGGCAATCACCAATTAGTGTCAAATCGTACCAAAAATCTAATTTGTCAAAGATATTGTTGATTTAATCAAACGCACAAATGTTCATAAAATTCTGACTTTTACCTCTATCACGTTCACAAGCCAACAAAATTTTCACGCGATTTTACTAAGTCAAAGGCAATAACTCAAATTCCGTTCACCGAAAAATCGTTAAATTCAAATTTGAACAAGATCTCAATGAAAGATTAAAATCAGATCATAACTGTAGTCTCTATAGAATTCACAAACATATTTTGACGCGTTTTTGCCATGTCAAGGGCAGTAACTCAAAAACATTTTATCGAAAAAATTCGAACTTGTCAAATATCTCATCGATATCAAGGAATTATCACACCAAATTTCTTTAAAATCAGATAAAACTGTAGTCTGTATTGTGTTCACAAACAAATTTCGACGCGTTTGTCATATGTCAAGGGCAATAACTCAAATTTGAACAAGATCTCATTGTAATAAATGATCACACTAAATTTAATGAAAAGCAGATAAAAACTGTAGCCTCTATTGTGTTCACATGCCAATTGTGGGCGGACAGACCGACGGACCGAAGGTGGACAGTGGTGACGATAATTTACGACCACATTATAATGTGGGTGGAGTAACAAAACGGTAAAATGCAAACACAAAAAATAAAACGTCCATCAAAAATTCGGAAAACTTCTGAAATCTCATCAATATACACACATGTTTACACCCACCAAGTTTCTTAAAAAAAACAGTATCGCGTTCAAAAGACAATTATGACCGCACTATAATGTGGACGTACAAAAAATACAGAATTATGCTCTTTAAGGGCTCACTGCTATCTTCAGTCAGCTTGCTAATATATGATACTGCAATTTTGCTTGGTATACTTAAGCACCATGATAACTGCCCATGCCGTTTGAGTGCTGTCATGAAAATGGAGCGTTACGTGAAATGGCCCTTAACCTGCATCTGCATATACTTACATATTATCATTATTAGGTATATCTGTTGCTTGGAAAACACAGCATTTTTCTCGATGTATCTTTGTTGATGGAGCAGATCGTTTGGATGGTAAAGTCATATGTGGTTCTGATGTATGTCTTGGTATTCTGTTTTCCAAGGCAGTATCAGTATTGTTCCTTTTGTCTTCCATTATCAGTGATTGTATTACGGGAATTTGCCTGTGACCTGTGTTTTTAACCGATGGCTTGGATTTGCTCTGTTGCTCGTTCACACCCCCGTCTTTAAGAGAAGCGACTTGTTTTTGCTTGAAGTTATTAATAAACGGCTCGTGATATCCATACAGATGATTACTTTCAGTGATTTTACTAGTACTGGTACCATAATTCCATCTTGGTTTTGGAGCATGTTCTGCCGAATGCTTAGATTGGTGGCTTTTGGATCCTTCTTCCAAATTGGAATCCAATCGTCCTTTTCTGATACCAGTTCTTCCACCAACTCTTTTCGAACCCTCGTCATAGCATTTCAGACAACCCATTTTGGAAAACTCTTCAGCGAAAGCTTCCTTCTTGCTTTCTCTAATTTCTGCCATGGTCGGTTTCTGGTTGGTAGACTTCACATTAGGATTATTTGCCCGAAAGGCTGATCTTTCCAGTGCTTGCTGTCTGATATCATTCCCGTGTTTTTCCACTTCTTCCTTTCTGCAAGCTGCAATATCTTTGATTCTTTTAATCCTCTCAAGTGGCGCATTGGCAGAAGCTGAATCCGATCGAGTCGGCATTGGAGTTATAGGCCTATTAGTTGTTTTTAGTAGACTTAAACGTAACCCGATAGCCTATTTACAACAATAAATGGAGCGAAAGTGACAATGCTCCAGCGTGGATACTGTGACGTCATAAAGAACTTCTATGACGTTAATTTCAAAATGGCCGCTTGCATGGAATCTGAAAATTGTCAGTGTTATTAGATCTAGTACTACTACCTATGCTTTGGCGAATCTACTCAAATTTTAGCTATGGGTTCTAATCATTCGAAGACACAAAGACCAATGACTTATATTCAAAGACCTGGTCAATATGGACAAACTGAAGACGAAGTTGTCAATTCTTTACCGAATGTTGAAGATTCTAGTCGTTACAGATATCTACCACCAAGCATGATTTCTGATTCAAATGTTCTAATGGCGAGATCAAAGAGAAAGACTTGTACCTCAAACCCAGAAAATACATCGCCATCAGTGGTAGGCCTACGATCATCACCCGGTGTTGAAGATTTGTTAGATATTGAATTGCCAATGGCAATGGATGCAGATGTTAGTAGTGATGATGCCAATGGTTCGGTGAATGAAGACTGTGGTGTTGAAATTGACATTGACGACATTTCTGTCAGTAAAAAATCGAGAAGAAAACCAGTTGAGAAAAGAGAATATTTCTTCAATAAAGGACGAAAAGAAGATGTAACTGCTAGTGCTGATAATGATTCTTACAATAACCTACTGATTGATGATAGCCGCTCTTGTGAAGGTGTTGAGGCTACTAAGCCTACAAATGAAGGTGGCAATACTGCTGAACCCAAGGATTGGAAGGTGTGGCCAATAGAATCGCAAGAACAGAAATATCAAGATGATCAATTTTTAGAGATACTTAAAGAGACACCCACCCGAGCATGTCACAGTAAGAAATACTCAGATAACAAAGTTTTTAAGGAACAAGACCTCGCACCATTGAAACAAGAACAAAGCTCAGAGGGCATCAGAAAGCAATTGTATCTGCAAGGAATCATCGCCGACGAAGCTTCAGAAACTGATTCTAAGGAAGACTTGTGGGATAAGAGTTTCATAAGGGAATGTGCAGAGTCAAGACTGGAACGACCAAGTCATGTGCGACTTCCTCCAATAAAATCCTTAGACAAATTGGCTTTTGCAAATAAACGGTTTGGATTTCGTCAACGCGGTTGTTCTACAGCTAAAGTGAATGGTTGTGAAAGGTCTGATCACGAAGAAAAAGGGTCACAACAACTAAAGACTGACAAAATTCTCCACAAAATTGATACTTTAGATCTAGTGTGAAATAAATATATCATAACAGAGTGTAAGCTTATAGCATATACAACATTATGTTCCTTTGTACATTATTATCCATATTATTATCTATCCGTAGCTTTTACAATCCCATATTCTCACCATTAGATACTATTAACCGCCCTTGGCAGACCATACGTCACCATTCAATTCATCAGGATTGTCGTAGCATTTGATGCGATTAATTATTTTATTTCAACTATGAAATGTCGATTTTCACTAATAGGTCAACATTGTAGGACTGATAATAATATTAATAACATTAGAAACATTTCTATAGATCCATACTATAAAAGATCATGCAAAAAGGTATCCTAGAACGTGGTATTACTCGTGTAGAAGTGAGTTTCTGATATAAAGGGAAACGTTTTTCATGTACTAGACTGACTCCTAAGCCTGGAGGTATATCGAAATAAAGTCTGTTTTAACTGCTATCTCCGCTAAGACGGAATTTTTAATGTTTCGTAAAAATCGTTTAGAGTACAAACGCTCTTTTAGTTTCGAGAAAACAATCTTACAGACTTGGTTAAAATCGCTTGATCTTGTGGAAATTCGGTGACATCGTAAAACCTGTGACTTAATTATACCAGAAAAGGTATGTTTTGGGTGAAATGAGCTCTTATGCAGCAGTTTCCTTAAAATTACTGACCTCTACTAACATACTACAAACACTACCAATATCCGTATCATTACTGATCTCTACTACATACAACAGTCAACCACTACCAATATATATATATCATTACTGACCTCTACAACTACGCACTAAAGTCAATGCTGATCTCTACAACTACACACTACAGTGAAACACTACCAATATCCGTATCATTACCGACCTCTACTAACATACTACAGTCAAACACAATCAATATACTGGACTACAAACTACAATCAGGCACTATCAATTAAATTCCTATCTTTGAAAGTGAGTTTATTGAACAGCTAACTGAATACATTCAAGTATGTGCTGCATAATATTTGTAATATACCAAAAATCATATAATTAATAACTGTAATACTGTAATACAGTAATACTGAGTAGGCTATTTTAAAATTGGAAAGATATTCTACATTTTGTTTATTTTTTTCTTGAACTATGGGAGTTCATTTGATGTATTTGTGAATATGATAAAAGGGAGTTGGGCTATAATCAATATAAAGCAAAATGTATTTATATAGACTGTGAAGATATATTTATCATATTTATGTACATTTACCCCCTTTACCTAGAAATAAAAGTGATAAAAAGTCAAATTCTTTTGGATCTAAACTTCTTTCATTTTGTAAATCTACATCTTGTTTAATAGCAAATGGTGGTTTAGGTCTAGATGCATCAGACGGTAGAATAACTTTCTGTAATAAAAAGGGTGAATCTGTAATTGATTATTTACTTGTCCCATGACATTGTATATACTTTAGTGTATTAGAAATGGACGAGTTTTCTGATCATGCACCCATTGAGTTCAAAATTAGTTGTCAGAAGAGTAAGGCCCAGAAAGAGAAGCTATCTGGCAAATAAAATGTTCGAGTTATCATTTGGACTAAAAATTAAGATTGTAAAATAGAATTTCATTTTGTTAATAAATGTCTCCCAATCTTTAATACCCATCTTGAAAACTTGTGTAATCCAAACCAGACCACTATTGATGAAGTAATTGAGTTTATAAGTACAACATTACATGATGTTATTGATTACGTCTATGGTAAAACTATTAGTAAACATAAGAATAGTTAAGGCAATACAATGTTTGTGGGTTACACAAATAGCATTTATATAAATTATCAGTGGTAAATAAGTTGTAATAATAAAGTTTTGAAAAATGTAGTCTTTGTTCATTCCATTCCTGTAAATATTGATCCCTTAGTCTCAGTTTCATTATATCAAAGCATGGAACTCGGTCGTCCTGTTGTGTCCATAGATAGCCAAGACCCAGTTTGTCTAATAAAATTTTGACAAGGAATGCCCAGTTATCCTTCTTTGCATTAACATTAGATGCTATAACATCATTACGTATTACGTTAAAAACATACAAAATAAGAGAATTTTAGTTAAAGATAACATGCAACCAATATTTTGAAATTAACTCATGCCTTAATAGAAGTAAAGGAACTCTACCAAGTTCTGCTAGAACAGCTGGAGTGGAAGTTGAAGATTTGACACCCAGAATACGTTTGCAAAATTTTAGGTGAACTTTCTCACAATCGGGGGATTTGTGGAAGCCCCAAACAGGGCAAGAATAGGACAGGATAGAGCCGATATATGTATCAAATAAAATGGTTTAGTAGCGTCGACTCCAGCTCAAGATGTGCAAACAGGTCCAAATTAACATCATCCTCAGGCAAGTCCAACCAATCTTTGTCAGAACAGCCACCACATTGGGCATTAGAATTGTTGCATTATGAGAGACTTAACATATAGAACCATTGAAATTGGCTATAAGTTGGGGGAACTAAACAGTGAAATTCAGTAGAGGTATTCTTGAAAGCATCAGGGATTTGAGAGGTGAGATGGAAAGTATTAATTAGGAAACTAGGCAAATATCTGCTAGAACTGAGGCTCTTGAGAATACTATCAGAAGAATGGAGGGGGCAAACAGAACGTTGAAATTGTAAATATGAAAGCAAGATCCGATAGAATTAAAGTGTGTGCATGGAATTGCCAGAGAGGGAGGGCTTTTTGCCAAATTGAAAGACACAAATGTTATTGATATTATACAAAATAAAGATATTTATCTGTCTGTCTGAATGTTGGCTAAATGTGTAAAGGAGGTGATTGTGTTCTATTATTAAAAAACCTTCTTTTTTAGTGTCAAATTAAGCTATTTGATTAATTGGCGTTTCTAAAGAATTATCATGTATTCTTAATCATATCATTATGTTCTTATTGCAGATACTTAGGGCTTTTAACCTATCATAAATGTCTGTATGTACAGTCGGGATAAAAAAAAAATACTTTTTTCTTGTTCGGTCGCTCATTGGAATTCTGCTGGTAATTCTCTACTAATTTAGCTAATTATGAATTAATTCTGGACATTTGAAATAAAGTCATTAGAACACTCTACTTTCTATTCATAAAAGTATTAGCATTTTCATTTTCATAAATGAAAATAAGGCAACCCATCTTTAAGACTGTCTCCTTTGGTTGAAATTTGATTTTAATGCATGAATTGAAAACCCATATTATATTATTTTGCATGGTCTATATACCACCAATGAAATCTGTATTTTTTTTAAATATTATGAATGTAATGTTGTTGAAGAAAGAAACCTGGTTGAATTGAAATAAAGGTGTGGTTTGCACCAATTGTACACTAATTGGGAGACTTTAACAGTAGGTTATGGACAGAGCAATTCCGACATTCTGTATGATGTAATTAATAATGAAGTAGATGAAATCATTCATAGTAATAGAAAAAATGAAGATGATGTTTTGGCCAATACTTTTGGACTCTTTGTAGAAACAGTAGTCTGCGAATCCAAAATGGAAAAACTTCTGATAACAGTCAATATACGTTTCACAACGAGAATGTTGATAATGTAATAGACTTAAACAATTGATAACAATTTTTAGAATTTATTTAATAGGTATAATTTTCGACAGTTTACAATGTATTCTGACCACGATAAATTTGCGCAAATCGAAATCCAAGAGGAACCAAAGAAGACTGTCAACTCGCCTTTGAAAAATTTAAGCATAGTTTATGGGTGTTTAACATGATGCAAAGTAACAAGAAATTTGTCATGATATAAGAATAAATAAAATATATGTAAAAGATATCCTATATCACAAATGCCATCTGACGCTATATAACTCAAAATTATTCTATTTTAAATTTTTAAAGAAAATTGTTCAACTGAATACAACACAATTAATAGGCTATTATAAAAATTCAAAGAATTTAGTGGCTGTTGAGTATAGTTTACGGAGCCCCTAAGGCGCAATTGCAAACATATTTATTTATTAAATATTATTTATATAATATTTAATATAATATTTCGTTTAAACGAAATAACTAATTCGTTTAAACGAAATAATTATTTCGTTTAAACGAAATAAAAAGATGGGTTAATTATTTCGTTTAAACGAAATAGACGAAAAAATTAATTCGTTTAAACGAAATAAACATAGTGTATTTCGTTAAAACGAAATAATTATTTCGTTTAAACGAATTAATTATTTCGTTTAAATGAAATAATTATTTCGTTTAAATGAAATAATTATTTCGTTTTAACGAAATAATAATTTATTTCGTTTAAACGAAATAACATTTCGTTTTAACGAAATAATTAATTCGTTTAAACGAATATTAAATTTTAAGAGGCATGTGCTACCATTAAATATATTTTAGATGTCAAAAAACATTGCTGTTGTTCTTTTTGTAATGAGTTGGAATTTTCCCTACGAAGATATTAGATTGATACGACCCGGAACTAACGGATAAGCCGCCAAAATTGATATGACCAACTTTCGTGCAACTCTCACAAAATAGTCGGACTTGTGGTGTGATTTTGGTATCTATAAAGCAATCGATTGTCGAAAATGGTATGGGAGCGAATTCTTTAATTTCAATTTTTCTATTTCCCTTAATGTGCCAAAAGTTTCAAGCCTGGTAACTCGTGACCTTGATCTTTGGTGACCTTGTGACAAAAGTTATTGCCGTTGATGAGATCTATACAATGCCATTTCCATTTCTGTTGATTGATACTCACTTTTCAGACGCTTTTATAGCCAGCTGTATTCCAACATTTTATACATGACAATCCAACTTTAAAGATAAACTATGCGTGGGATAGTAAGTATACGTTGACTATGCCTTTTATTTATATACATTTGGCATATAATTGTGAAAGAAGCATCTCAGCAGGTACGTTATCTTCATTTTACCCGACATCAAACTATTTTGCGATCAATTCTAAATTCAAAAATTAATTTTTTTTTCGTAAAAATGCATTGGTAGTGTAGCTCGATTTATAATTTCGAGTAATTT